CCCTCGCAAGCGTGAGCGGAGCGTATCGCCGCTGGTAGTGGCGTCTCTCATGGGTGAACACAGACTGAAATCCCCCCCAGATACAACACCGTGTATCACCCTCTCTCCCTAGAGTGTATTGCTGTCTTTTACCAAGCCTGTCCCTGTCGCCGCGCGTCGCCGTCGGTCTCTCAAAGCGAGAGCCGCGGTGTGAGTATCCTCTTCCTCTTTTCCGCCACCTCGTCGACACGCGATGGCAGGACCCGCCTCCTGGTAGTGCCGACGTCAGCCAATCGCTGTGTCCGATCGTCAGGGCCAATCGCACTTGGGCTACCACTTCCACGAGCTCTCCCCGTATTGATCCCACAATGAACCCGACTACAGCTGCGGTATTAAGAAGTTCGTACTTGGGTAAAACCACCCTTCTCGCGCGCGCTTACCTTCTCTCTGCTCCGTGTGCGCTTCACTCCTTCCTCCACCTCCTCCATCCAGCTTCTTCGTGGTCTTCATCCTTCGCCTTCGTCCCACCTTCCTTCCGTTCCGAGCAACCATCCCCCGCAGCGCGCATAATGAGTCTTAATTAACAGTTTCGTGGTGTTTTGGGAAGCTTAATTTGCCGCGGCGAAAGAGTGAGCGAGAGAGTAAGAAGAAGAGAAGAGAACAGAGATATACCCCGGGAGAGGTAGCAAGAAACAGATAGATAAATAGAAAGAGAGAGAGAGAGAGAGAAAGAGAGAAGGGGATAAAACATGGCGTCTTAAGGGCAAAATTCCTACCGAAACAACGTTCTTATGCGGAAATCTGTATTTTTATACGACACCGGCCAACTGACTTACTGATCTTTCAAATAGATTTAATACAAACCATCGTTTTCTTCGAGAAGTAATCGTAAAAGTTCAACGATCGAGCGTATCTGTATATTTGAGTGCCTTTTTACACTACAAATAATCCAATATTTTTATAATAAAGAGCGTCTGTATATCACGTTATCAAACAGTTACTACTCGATTTTGTTGATGTTATTATTCTTCAAATGTGAATTTTGGGATGGAGTTCCGAATGACCCTTGCTCTCCCGATCGATCTGAAATTTTGCACAAAAATAGTTGTCGATGTGACGAATAAAGCGCGCGCATACGGTCCCCACTTCGGGAAAATGAAAAACAACTTTTCACGTGACATGAAAAATAATCGACTAGAATCGACTCTACATGATACACACGTGTAACATATAAACACATGAAAGATGTATACATAGTAAGTATATCTACGATTACACTTCGCTTTCCATTAAAAAGTTTTTTGCTCCCCTCTCTACGGAGGGGGGCTTCACTATCAAAAAACTAAAAACATAAGTTTGAATTTTGAACCTCGCTTTGCGTGGAAATTAAACTTGTACGATATAGGGTAAAAGACCCAATTACTGTCGACTGAATAATAAACTCTGGCGTTAGCGAATTGTTTTTACTATTTGTTTATCAAAAACATGTGTTTTTCTTCTTATCTGGTATTATTCGATGTCTCTGATATAAGGAAACAAAATAATACCGCCTCTCAAGATCTCTATTTTTATTTAAAAATTTAATAATTAAAAAAGAACGATGCGAGAGCTATTACTGTCAACCCCCTAAAATGAAAGAAATGAGACAAGAATGTTGAGTGCTGGATTTTTTGTTATAATAATTGCACTTAAAATTCTACGTTAGATTGTTTTCATGCATAATTTTTTAGGATTTATTTAATATTTTAAATAAAATAGCTTAGGGTGACGGTAATTGGACAGGTGACAGTAATTGGGTCTTTTACCCTAATTACAGACCTAATTTTCCACAAAGCATCAGACGATATAAAGTAGATCTTGCTTTCTGCAAAAAGTGAATTTGTAACTTTTCGTGTCAAAACACTGTTTACTCCCAACGCTCGGTGCTTTAAGATTCTTTTCAGTGAATAGAACTATCACGTATAATATTTTTATTATATATTATATATGTGTATATAAATCACATAGACCGGTCCAGTGGTCTCGCGGCCTGAGTGCGGGATCTGCGAGTAGGGGGAAGTCCCGAGTTCTCGAATCCACACATCTTTGGGTTTTTCCGAGCCGGTCTCTCTCTTAATCGAATTTACCGACTGATTGTGAGATGCGAACTGAATCCGAGTCTCCAATCAGAGCTATCAAGAACCGAGCAGAGCATCTTGTTGCTCTAGGGAAGAAAAATCGTCCCTAAAGGCGGAAGAATCACTAGATGGCCAACGGCATCAGGATATCAGGAAGGCAACGGGAAACCATCTGATTGATTTTCCTATGAAAGCATCTAAAAGATGCAACCACGCCTTGTTGAAAGACAAAAGAACTGAGGAAATAAATGTCATATAGAATCGATTCTAGTCGATTTTAGTTTTCATATCATAAAAATTGGGGGTTTTATTTCCCAAAGTGGGGACTTATTTGTCACATATCAAACACTATTTTTGTGCAAAATTTCAGATCGATCAGGAGCAGAAGTCAAGTTCGGAATTACATTCTCTAATTTTGTAATATTTTCAGTAGAATATCTCCAACAGTAATATTTAGTAAAAGTTCTTTACACACATACACACAAATATACAGGGTGTCCCAGAATTGGTTTAACATCTCTCGTAGGCAGATAGAAGGAATAAAACTGAGGTGAAAAGTCCTATACCATTTTGCTAGATTCGCAATAGTTACTGAGATTTTAATTAACAAAGATCCGCGAATAAGCATGCATCGGGCTGTCTTACGCGCGTAAGACTGCCCGCCGCGCTTCGCGCGCTAACGTTGTTACCCATAGCGACATATGGGAGGAGCTAATATAACAATATATACTATAACATATACATATTAAAATGTAATTGTGTGAAGCGCGCCGGGCTGTNCTACGCGCGTAAGACAGCCNGATGCACGCTTATTCGCGGATCTTTGTTAATTAAAATCTCGGTAACTATTGCGAATCTAGCAAAATGGTATAGGACTTTTCACCTTAGTTTTATTCCTTCTATCTGTCTACGAGCGATGTTAAACCAATTCTGGGACACCCTGTATATATATATGTAAAGTTCGTTTTCGATGAAAATTTTGTTTTAGAATGCTTGCTATCATATGCGCAAATCAAGACAAAAACAAAAGCGTTTTTAGTTTAATTATACCCTGATAGAAAACCATTTACAAAATTATGTGACGAAATCTTGCGCTAAAATTGTAATTTGCAATTATACAGACATATTTTAGAAAATACATGTAAAAACATTAATCTTTTCTGAAATATTTGTAGGTGTTTGCAAAATTACTTTCCAAATACTATTTCGGCAAAAGAATATAACGATATGGCGAATCATCTTAGCAGTGTATTTGCAAAATTAATTTCACAAAGAAATTGTCCAATAATTGAGAAAAGAAATTCAGCTATGTGATGTTTAAAATATGTAGAAATATGATTGCACAGAAGAAATGCAAGAAATCGTCGTCACTCATGATGTCACATTTGTGCAATATTTTCACAAATTGCCTATTGGAGGTATATACTGTGAAAATGCATAACAACTTTTTCGCAATTTTTGACAAATATTATTTACAAATATTATTTAAATTTTATTTCGACAAAACTGTTGCGTTATGGCGAATTATCTCAGTGCAATCATTGCAAAATCGTCGCCATTCATGATGCCATTTTTGTTGTACAATATTTTCACAAATGTGCCTATTAGGGATATCAATTGAGATAAAAGAGATTAAGAAGAAGAAGACGCAGTAAGCGAAGCTGTAATATCTAACAAAAGTATTACACGTTTACAAAAAATCGATCGTTTACATATAAAGAAATTTACTTAGAATTTTCATACACCTGCGAAATATTACCGTCTCTTTGTTTCTACAAGTGCAACTCTACTCGCTTTGTAGCAGCAAGCGTTTGTTGGTTTTTAATGCGAGAGGTCCCGCGTCTTGATATCGTCTTGAACTTTTCTTTACCATATATATGTTTGGTTTGTATCACTCGTGTTATTTTTATCGTTGTTATCTCGCTCGTTGCGACAATATGTGTGTACAAGCGTGAGTATGAATTAATGAGTGTTCGTGTTACTGCATACTGCGCACATACACACAGAAATATGATTAATTATTTCAGTATTAAAATTGCTTTTTTCACACAAAATAATATTTTATACAAACGTTCATTTGGATGTTCATTAGATGTTACGTAAAGTTACGAACGTTCGTCATCATACGTCTGATGGATGTTACGTCTGCGAAAGTGTGTATATTAAAACTTATTAAAACTGATTCAAGTAAAGACAAATACAAATAAGTCATCAAAATTTTTTACAAAAGAATCTTATATAATTTTATATAATAAGTCGTTAATAAAAGTATGTCTTTACAAGAATGAAATAATAAATGTTGTTCTGAAAATGTCTTTTATTTTGTCATACATTAAACGTGCGTGTGTGTGTGTGTGTGTGTGTGCGAAAAGAAATATATATTTCATTAACTTACATATGTATTACAGATCTAACAAATGTAACACACTCGTAAAACTTAAGTATAAACAATATATAATATATTGTTATAAAAATATATATAAAAATATATAATATATTTAAATAACAATACATTAAAACAAATTTGTAATACATTAAAATGCCTTATTCGTATAATACAAATTCATAATCTAAATTATGTAAAAAAAAAAAAACAATAATAATAATATTATTTGAAACGTTTTGATTTGTGACTTATAATCGGTGTGACAATTAAAACTTTTGGGGGAAATACTTTCGGATCACACGATGTGACATCGAGAGACAATTTGTTTAGGCTTGTGTGCGAGGATTCCCCGACGCGAGAGATAATTCGTGCGAGAGACACAACTCAGACTTTTATGCATCGACTTTATGGATCTGCGGCCGGGTATTACCCGGCGCTGCAAAAGGAACGCTGCTTGGGAAAGAACGTGTACATCCCCGAATCTGAAAGTTTCGTATATAAGCATCCGAGATGAAGCAGATGAGCATCAGAAGTTGTTCAGCACTTCAAACGAATACATTAATTATATTCCCGAAGGAATAGTCGGCGCGTTACCATGAGACTGCTAATTTTTGTGTTCGCCTTATCGAGCGTTATCGTCTATACGAGCGCCAATATACCAGAAGACTTATCACCGACTCTTTCGCCAGATGAGGTATGTAACATACTATTACTTAAACGAATAGCTGATCATTATAATAAATCGAGACTAAAACTTTCTATTCATTTAAATATTGTGAATTTACATTCAAATATTTTATACATTCAAACACGCGGCTTCTCGCATATTTAAAATATACACAATTCTTTTTTACCTGGAAATTATCGTTAAGTCGGAATTTTCTCTCAGTTAAAAAAAACATTCCACACAGAACAAAAACTCCATTAGACGTCTATTAGACGTCGACAGCTCCATGCGACATCTAATAAATGTCTGGATGGATGGATGTCTGTGTGGGATCTTTGAAAAGTATTGACAAAATGTCTTATACATGTGTCAATAATCTGCACACTTGGTTAAAAAATATATATAATTGTACAAAAAAGACTTAGATATATTTAATTGTAATAATGTGCTTAACTTATTTGCAGAGTTCGCGTTTTCGTCGCGAGGCAGACAATAGCAGGGGTTCAATAACTCTTCATGGAACACAACCTTTAGGCGGTCCGGAACGTCAACCTACGTGGGATCTCAATGCCAATGCTAACATCATTAACGATGGTCGCACGTCGGCCGGCGCTTACGGAGGAATAAATAAAACACCCGGACAACGAGTTCAGCCACATTTCGGCGTCCAAGCTGAGAGAAACTACGGCAATGGTTTCATCAGAGGTCAAACTCAATTCCAGCGAGGTCCAGGAGGCAGACTATCTCCTTCGGTTGGCATAAACGGCGGTTTCCGATTCAGGAGGGAAGCGGATCCTCAAAGAAATTCGCTAAGTTTTCAAGGAAGTCAGCCCTTAAGCGGTCCGATGCGTCAACCTACTTGGGATCTTAACGCCAATCGTAACATTNANAACAATGGTCGTNCAAGTGTGGACGTCTACGGAGGAATGAGTAAAGTACCCGGACAACGAGTGCAACCGCACGTTGGCATCCAGGCTGAGAGAAACATCGGCAAAAATGGTTTCATCAGAGGACATGGTCAACTTCAACCAGGCCAAAGAGGCGGTGTCTCTCCCTCGGTTGGGATATCTGGAGGTTATCGGTTCAGGAGGGAAGCGGACCCTCAAAGAAATTCGCTAAGTTTTCAAGGAAGTCAGCCCTTAAGCGGTCCGATGCGTCAACCTACTTGGGATCTTAACGCCAATCGTAACATTCACAACAATGGTCGTACAAGTGTGGACGTCTACGGAGGAATGAGTAAAGTACCCGGACAACGAGTGCAACCGCACGTTGGCATCCAGGCTGAGAGAAACATCGGCAAAAATGGTTTCATCAGAGGACATGGTCAACTTCAACCAGGCCAAAGAGGCGGTGTCTCTCCCTCGGTTGGGATATCTGGAGGTTATCGGTTCAGGAGGGAAGCGGACCCTCAAAGAAATTCGCTAAGTTTTCAAGGAAGTCAGCCCTTAAGCGGTCCGATGCGTCAACCTAGTTGGGATCTTAATGCCAATCGTAACATTTATAACAATGGTCGTTCAAGTGTGGACGTCTACGGAGGAATGAGTAAAGTACCCGGACAACGAGTGCAACCGCACGTTGGCATCCAGGCTGAAAGAAACATCGGCAATAACGGTTTCATCAGAGGTCACGGTCAGCTTCAACCAGGCCGAGGAGGCCACGGTGTCTCTCCCTCGGTTGGGATATCTGGAGGCTATCGGTTCAGGAGAGAAACCGAAGATATTGATGTCGACGAAGAGGAACCTATCGAAGAGTATTAAAACTTATATGAATTAATATTAAAATACATACACATAACTTTAGAATTTGTTTTTTAAATTAATTTTTTTTTCATGTTAGTGAATTTATTTATCTGTTATGTATAAACTTTATATGCGTGTAAGATTCTTTTACACTTTTTATAAATTATAATTCTGAAGAGGCTATTTTACGAAATATTATTTACATATATTAAATACATGTTGTTATATATATTATGTACATCTTGACGCTTTTAATGTTTAAATAAACGAACTTTTATCAGTATATTTATATACAGTATTTCTGTTTATATATATATATATATATACAGTATTCATATAAAAGTTGTATATATATATTTTTTTATTAAGTATCTGTGCGCAGAAGACGTGATATACCAAATTACTTCTCTTTTTCTCTCCTTCTGTCTTTTCTCTCTCATATTTTAACAAAATCCTCGTTTCTTTGAAATATAGTCTTTGATTTTTTTCAAAAAAACAGAAAAAAACGATAAAAAATATATATATATATATTTTTTTTTTTTAACTTTCCTCAGTTGCAAAACATACTGGCAATTCCTGCGGCCGGAGCGTAGTGTCAAGATTAAACACTTGACCGTATCAAATCATCATCCAACGTTACCGGTCGATATCTAATGTTGTGTGTAACTTAGCAGGTCCCCGACAATCTCAAACGACGAGCAAATCCAATAAAGTCTCGACAAGCGTGACAGTAGATGCGCGGGGGGAGGTTTTTTTGCAGTAGGTCTCGAAACGATTAAACGTTTTCGCCTGGCCGCCTGGAACAGTAGTCATTCTGCACGTGGCCACTTAACAATAGGTAGATAGAAGGGCGAGGTGCAACCCCCCCCCGCTGCCTAATACTAGGCATTAAATTTGTCAGTGATATTACTGTAGGGTCGCTTCTAGCCCTTGCTCTTTGCACATCATAAATGGTGCGGAGAGCGACTGAAATATGCCGCCGCTCGTATTCTCATTCCCCCCGTACGCGTGGGGAATGGTTCAAATGAATGTCGGACAATGGAAAGCGAGATCGAAAGACATTGCTCGAATAAACCCGGCGCTTTGAGGTGTTGTTCCTTTTCGCCACGTGCACCAGCACCGAAAAATTGGCGATGATGCAGCTATTTGACGATTTGTCTGATAATAAAAAAAATTGCTTCCATATTACGCGCAAAAAACAAACTTTTATATCGTGCAAAAAACGTTTAAAACTTTTTGCGAATTATAAATCACGAGAAAAAACTTCGCGGACAAGTATTAGCTTTGATTTTTCAGTCGCGACTCGCGCAATTTCAAGAGCACCTTTCGGCAATATTACCGTGGATTGAGTAAAACTTTTACTCAATTAACGTTACTTTGACGACCGATTCATCTGAGCAAAAAAAAAGCACGTCGCGGACGTCCAAGGATGCTGCAAACCCTGTTTTTTTTTTGACAGATCAACAGACTCCTGGGCCTCCCACGAAAAGAAATTACTTGGAACGTCGAAATAACAAGCCAGTGAATTCCATTTCTCTTTTTCTCGTTCCCACGTTTGGTCCCCGTGTGCACAACTTCTTAATGAGAGTTCAATAATAGGGAATCATAATGAGCATCGCGTTGACGCATCAAAAAAATTTTTGTTTTATAAATGTTCTAGAAATTAAATTTTAATAAAACAATTATGTAAAAAAAAAACGGCTCAACAGAATAAAAAAAAAATAACTAAATTAGTAGACCAAAAAGCCGTCAATTCAATGGGTGGTGGCTGTGATATTTATTCAAAATTTGAATAATTCACATTAAGACGGTAAATGAACGTATCGATAATTTATTTTGATCTTCATATTACGAATAATAATTAAAAAACGAAGTTGATCTATCTCGCGTTAAATTTTTAGGTCAGCGTGAATAGAACAATTATGTAAAAAAAAAAACGGTTCAACAGAATAAAACATATGAAGATCGTATGAAGATCAATATCGAATGATCAAAACGTTCTTTCACCGTTTAAATGTGAATTATTCAAATTTTCAATAATAAAGTTTAAGGCTCGACGGAGACAAACTATAAGAAAAGCAAAAACCGCAGATCCAAGGTGGAAGTGGAAATAAATTGTAACAGCAGTCAGTGTAAGTTAAGTGGACGTTTCGATCCTTTTATTGTGGATCATTCTCAACACTGTTTAAATTGAAAAAAAAAAAAAAAAACAAATTTAGATACAAGATTGCACAAGAATATAGTGATTAATTCGCATGATAATTAAATGTGACCTTACAATAAATTAAAGTTGATTTAAGTTTAAAATTTAAAATGTAAAATAAAGTAAAAATACAAATAATGTATATACGCACCTAAGCACAGACAAGTCGTTGTGTGATCAAATAACGAGTATACAGGCAAAGAACAGCAACTAAAGCCAATGACATAGACATACAAAACGAAAACAATGTAAGATGTCTATGTATCAAAGTCTAAACAGGAATTTCAAATAAAATCATATATTAATGAAAGGTGAAAATTATAACAAGTCAAAGGAGAGAAATTAGTCAAAATTTATAAATAATAAGTCAAATTTTAATTTTAATTGTCAAGTAAAAAAGTTCAAATTTTGAATAAATACTACACTAATTTAGTTACAAATTTTAGTAGCAAATATTCAAAATATATAGATGACATTTATTTTTGAGATGCAATTATTATCTTTCTTTCTTAATAATCTCTCGTGTACAGTTTCGTTGTATCACGTAAGATTTTTGAGACAAAATTCTTCAAAATTAAAACCTGGAAAAAAAAAAAAAAAAAAAAAAAAAAAAGGAGGATCGACAATAAGGAGTAGATATCGAGGAAAAGACGCTGCCAGCATATAATAAAAACAACTTAGAGAGATATCTTTATTGCTGCAACGACTAACATGTTCCTAACATTAGTAGTAGTTCAACGGCGACGAACAACATGTATAACTTGAAACCATGCTGTTAGAATTATATATAATTGTAATATGTATATATAATCTGACCGTATTTTTGGAGATGGATTAAGATTATTATTCTTAATAAAAAATAAAATGCCTAGAAAGATAAACTTCCGAGCTTAACGATCCAGCGCATAACGACACGATGAGAAATTTTTGCAAATAAAGAAAATAGAATCTGTGACATATGATTACAATTTTATTGATTGTGTAGGATGTAAGTTTTTATTGCGACACTCCTCGTCCTTCGTTGTTGCTCTGTATCTTTTTTTGTTTTTCTTCTTTTTCTTCATCTTTCTGCTCCAAATATTTATCCCATTTTTCCAGTCGTGCTTCGACCTGGGCGTCGGTTTCTCTGATTCTGAAGAGTACAAAAATTTGATACATTAACAGTTTTATATACATATTTAGAAAAACATGTTGTATTGCGTTGTGACGTTTAATACGTTACGCGAGTTATATACGTTAATGATAATTTTTCATTACACAAGCGCAGAGAATCTTCTTGCAACAAAAATTCTAACCATAGTTAGCTAAGATCATCGTCCCTTATAGCAAAGATTTCAACCGCGCTTAAGATCAGAACACATGTGGTAGAGAAGATTTGCACCACTTTAATACTTATACTCTTATTTTTTTTAATTACAAGAGATTTTATTTATATTCACTAGCAATAAACAAATATAATTAAACAATATTTTGAAATTTTCATTGTCAACATGTGATTTTATACATATAAAGTATATAATTATACGTAAAAATATAGGTTTCTTATAACCGACAGAGAAATTCTGTATTAGCAACCATCGATATGTGATTCTTAAAGTTGATACAGTGGTAATCAACCAACAGGATAACTTACTTGTACTTGGTTTTCCCGTCCCAGATTTCCGCTGAGATCTTTCTCTGGCTGAACCAACGACCGTTCAATAGCTGAACGCAAGCTTGCGCCTCTGCCGGTTCTCGGAATGTAACTTGTGCTACTCCTTCGGGATGTCTCTAAACAAAAAAAGAAACAGAACTTTTTGATCCGAAGTAATCAAAAATTAATACACACTATATATGGGTGATTCTCTGTGAACGCGTAAATTTCAACTTTCAGTTTTGATAAAAAATAATTATTATTAACTAACGGATAGCGGTGAATTATGTTTTTTCATACCATTTTAAGTCACCATTCCTAATATGAATACGTGACTATGCAATATAAAAAACTTATCTATGTTTTTTATGTCAATATACCACGAGAGATTACGTTTTTTGAGAATTACCCATATAAACGTTCAAAGTATATAATGTATATTAACATACACACTTCTCTATATATAAATATCTGAATCATATTTTAACAGTCGGTTGTTTAAAAGTCAATATAAATGTTGAGACAAGTAAATATAGCACAAATAAGAGCGCATAAAACTCAACACGTGAATCACATTCGGCTGAATCTAAATATACGGTGAATTTATGGCTTCTGCTTATGAGCTATACACGTAGAAAATTAAAGAAACAATATTTTGACATGGGTTTTGTTACAATTAGATACGCAAAATTGAATTATATATTTGGTTTAACAAATCGAAGTCCAAGATATGTATGAAATTCAAAATTATTTATGAATTTTTTTAAATAATAGTTTTGTTTATTATATTGTCGAAGAACTACCGTTACAATGTCGCTGAGTTTGTATCTTTTTTTTTTTTTTTTAATTCGCGGAAGTTAAATTACGAACATTCTAGAAGTTTACACACAGAATTTTACACAAGGGACACTATTAACACTTTTAAAAAGAAAAATTCCTTGTTCCGGTGAAACATATTTCATGGCGCTCATGACAGCGAAGAGCCATGTTTCACCGAGAATTTCTTTGCGGTAACACGTGTTTTGAAAAAGAGAAAAAAAATGATAGCTGAGAGACGTCTACGGCAAATTAGGTGGCAAAACATCGAGTTTCTCATATTGAAGTCAACGCAATTTTATCACATCCGCAAAATAATCGCGGATTTATAATAAAAATTAAAGTTTGAAAAATAATCAAATTACTATTTTTCACAAGCAATATTACTTAAACAAATATCATTGTGGAAATAACTAAAAAAAAAAATTAAAAAAAAATGTGAGGATATATAAAAAGTGATAAATATAAACGTCGTCGTCAGACGCGTCGTCTGGATGGAACGTGCACTCTGTGACATTGAAATAGTTTCACGCCCGAATAGCAAAGACTGAAATTGTCTTGCCTCTCGTCGATTTATGGGATTGGGGGCATACCCTTTCAAAAGCGCTTCTTGCCGCCTGTTCTGAGAAATTCATGAAATTCTCACTAAAAATACAGCGTTCGGAGAAAGTCAATCGCGATAGTTAAGAGAAACAATGAGTTTTAAGTTTTTAGTTTTAAGCTTTTATTACTAACATTTTATTAGCAGTTGCTAAGAATAGAACTTTCAAAAAGAAAAAAAATGTCAACAAAAAAAAAGAAACAAAAGATAAATAACTTACGTCATAAATGACTACTTTTTTGACATCACCGCACTTTAAACACTCGGATCGGATATCCTGTTGGTATTCAAGCAGCAGCTGCACCTCTCTGTCAAAATCTTCAGGTGTGAAAAGATTCTTTATGACCACAACTCGTTCACACTTCAACGGTTCACCTCGCATGCGGTCAGGTCGCCAATCGAACAATCTGCAAGCAGCCACACACAAGAAATACTAAGTAGATAAGAAGTAAGACAATTTTGCATTTCAATCGATTGACAATTGAAGGTTTCCTTCTGGTCGTTCAAAAAAAAATGACAGGTTTCAATAGTTCAAGAGATGCCGAACAAACGTTAACCCGATACAGCACAAATAAAGTGCCAGTACCAAGCTGCATACCGGAGAGTAACTTGTGAGTAGTCAAGAACGGTCGTACAGTGATTGATAGATCGTGGCTCACGACTTCTTTGGAGTGACTCAGAAAATTGATGCCAATAGAAACGTATATAACCAGTGTAAATTCCAACAACGGATGTCGAAAGACCGTTGCCGTGATGACTACTTCCGGCCAGCACAAACGTGGGCCCGCACGTTCGCCAATAACTGGTTTTCGCAAAGTCCAGGGCGTTAACCCTGCGCTCGCGACCTACACAGGATATACCGAAACGATATGACTAACGATATAGAGATAGCATCGGAGATGCATCACCGCTATTGAACAGTGAGCGCACGAAATAATGGTACACGAAGAAATTTAAATGTTTTACATACACGCGCGCGCGCGCGCACACACCACGTCACATGATTTATAAATTTTTCGTCAGTTATATAATCAAATTTTTATGTAATTTCCATAATAATTGTACATCTTTTCAAAAGCGTTGGAAATTTATAAAAATCCCTAGTAAGCAAATTGTAAAAATATTGCACAAAAATGACATAATTAATAACGACGATCCTGCAATGATTGCACTAAAATGATTCGCCATAACGCAACAGTTTTTTGTCGAAATAAAATTTTGTAAATAATAATTTGTCAAAAATAGCGAAAAAGTCGTTATGCATTTCTATAATATATATATATACATGAATTAAGTTGATTTCTTCGTATGTGTGTGTGCAATTATATTTCTACATATTTTAAACATCGTATAGCTGAAATTTTTTCCTCCAATTATTGGACAATTTCTTTTTGAAATTAATTTTGCAAATATAATGCTAAGATGATTCGCCATATCGTTATATTCTTTTGCCGAAATAGTACTTGGAAAGTAATTTTGCAAACAACTACAAATATTTTATAAAAGATCAATGTTTTTACATCTACTTCCTAAAACATTTCTGTATAATTGCAAATTGCAATTTCAGTGCAAGATTTTGTCGCATAATTTTGTAAATGTTTTCCTATCAGGATACATGAATTAAATTGATTTCTTCGTATGCAATTATATTTCTACATATTTTAAACATCGCATAGCTGAAATTTTTTCCTCCAATTATTGAACAATTTCTTTGTGAAATTAATTTTGCAAATATACTGCTAAGATGATTCGCCATATCGTTATATTCTTTTGCCGAAATAGTACTTGGAAAGTAATTTTGCAAACAACTACAAATATTTTATAAAAGATCAATGTTTTTACATCTATTTCCTAAAACATTTCTGTATAATTGCAAATTGCAATTTCAGTGCAAGATTTCGTCGCCTAATTTTGTAAACGTTTTCCTATCGGGGAAATGTGTTTTCGAGAAAGAAAAAATGTGTTTTTAGTTTTCTTTATCACATCTAAAAAAGAAAATGTCTCGGATCTTTTAGCTCCCTTCGGTTATGTATCCGCATTCGTGTAAGAAATAATAATTACAAATTAGATCACTAGACACGGGACACAACAAAGTCAATGTCATTTACAAGGCGCAATTACACGCTTCGATTATCAGGGTTAAATTGCGGCAATCTTGCTGGGAAATCTTAAGCGTATAATTTTGGATCGGTCTGTATGCGGAGACCGGCGAACTAAATGCGGGTAATCGACGTGCGCAGCTGCCTAACGTGCCGGAACCGCCAACGCCAAGCAGTCTGCAAAACCCGGGAGAGCCGATGGCAGTGCATAATTATTACAGAGTCTTTACACACTGGAACGTGTGTGTTACGCCGTGAGATGTACGTATATCAACAGTACGTACCGTAAGAGATTTTTTTTTTTTTTTCTGAATCAAGGTTTGCGTTTACTGCGCATCTTTGATACGATATCGTTTTTAAGCGAGCCACTTGCCGACACGCGTGTGTGTTTCGCCGCGCATAGAAACCTTAATAAGATACACACGCGCGCGCGCGACGGGCGGATGCGAACCGTGGATGAAACGTATCTTGATCTTCCGAGGACACGCCATCTCACACGAGCGTGAAAAAGAGATGAATAAAAGGCTGAAGAAACTGAAGGAGAGAAAAGCGACCATCTCTCAGGCTTGGCGGTTCGCGTTGCAACACAGCGCACAAAACGCCAAGCCCGATTTGTACTGGGCGTCATGAGATGATGAAGTGAGTGTTGGTCTACGCCCTCAGATCCGCGATAAGAAGTGGTTTGTTTGGCAACAAACAACCACTCGCACACAGACGGAGTACGTGTATAGTCGTTATTTGATTTCTCTTTTTTCTTTTTTTTTTTTTCATTTTTCATTTTTGAGATTTATTTTCTCTCACGAAATTTTTGCTCACAGAAGACTTACTTTTCTTGCATCTTTTTTTGTCGTTCTTTGTCCTTTTTTTTCCGATTGAGTTTCCGCGCGGGATCGTATTCGCCTTTCATTTGAAACTTCGCTCTTTGAACCGACAGTGTTTTTCCACGAATTTCAGAGCCGTCCAAGATTTTCAAAGCCAACTCCACCGATTCGACCTGAAACCAGAAGAATTAAATAACAGATCAGATTTAAAGTGTCTTTTTTTATCGTGTTTTGTGCCGTGATTAACACAGGAAGCAAATAAGGGCGACGTTAACGGCCTGCAGTTCCTACTTATTGTGTCAAATTAATAGGGATGAGACGAGAAAAGGGAAGCGCGCCATTGTTACCCAATGATACACGAGTGATATCAAGTCCAATGATTAAAACTCGTGATCAATTTGTTTTTGAAATGTTTTGTTACGTGGTCGCGCCCACAATAATTACAATAAGCATTATAATACACGTACGTAGGATTTTTTTTTTTTTAACCGAATTGCAATTTTTTATATACAAACAAAAATATAACAAAGAACAAATGAATTTTGGCTATTGAAGCAATAACACTGTTGTTGGAGTGTATATATTTAAATCTGTTTATTAACAAAAATATAACACTCGCGACAAAAAAAATCAGAAACTTGAGAAAATCAGAAGAAAACCTGAGAAACCTATAAATGAGTCTCGTGACTTAAACCAGTAATAAAAAAAAACCCACATGTGGTCGGAACTATGATAAATTTAACCGCGCTCGCCGCGTTCTCGGAATTTAGTTCAGGAAAAAGACAGTTACACATATAATAAAATGTTGTTTTATTATGACACGCAAACAATATCCCGAAGCCTCGCTAAACGTAGAAACAATGTACCGACATATACATATATATATAAGTATAGATGGAACTCAAGCGTATATTCGCACTATTTCAAGATTTATTTTCAGCTGTTACGCCACCGGCCTCGTTAATTCTCGACATTTACTGTGTAAAAAGCGTAAAATATGCGTGTCATGAACACGAAAAACAGTTTGACTGATTTCTTTATAAAATCGTGCAAAACACACGTTTATTCTTAGAGTATTGTATTATTTAATCGTACACCGAAAAAATTATATTCTTATAAGTAGAAGATTTTATACTTAAAAAATCTTCTTAAAGATTTTAGATGATATTCTTCTGAAATTAAAAATATATTCTTTATTTAAGAATATATTCTTAATTTAAAATATATTCTTTATTTAAGAATATATTCTTAATTTAAGAATATAGTCTTTTTCGATAGCGAGATATATGTGTTTTTCTATAGAGGCCTTTTATATTCTAATCAGTATATATTCTTATCAATATTACTATTTAGAGGATTTTCCTCTTAAAGTAAGAAACTCTTCTCTTGGCGCCTATTTTAGTATAAAATATACTTAAAGTAAGTGGGATATCTCTCTCTCCTCAAAACAAGAATACAATTTTTTCGGTGTACGTGTATATATATATATATATATA